GGCGGCAGCGGCGGCGGGGGCGGGGAACCCGCGGCTGCGGCGACGGCGGCCGCAGTGGATCCACGGGGCGGGCTCAATTCGGCGTGACGGCGGCCGCGGCGGCGGCCGCGACCAGGTGAATCCGGACGGCCGTCGTGGTAGGAGGGGCTGGGGGTACTCTGTCGTACGGGGCGTCCAGGCAGAGCCCCGGTGGGCACCAGACCGCGAGGTCCGGGCTGCATCGGGCCCCGCGGGAACTGGGGGACCGCAGGGACCGGGAGGCCTCGGGCTCGACTCGGCAACGGTGCAGCCTGCCCGGGACTGTCGGGGCGGAATGGGGGGCCCGCCCGGAGGAGATGCGGGGCTGGAGCTGCGGCCCCGCATGCAGGAAGGAGGCCCGGCCTCGAATGGGGCGTCGATCAGCAGTGAGCGGCGCCCAGGCATCGTGTGGTGCATAGCGGGGTGCGGGAGGGTCAGGGGTCGACCCCACTTCCGGTCCCCAGCCTAGGCTGCGGGGTCCACGCAGGCCCGAGTGTGCGTCTGCGTGAGTGCGCAGGCCCTGCGTCCACCGCGAAGCCCCCAGCCGGGCCCGCCCCGCCCCTCCCGCCTCCTGCACTTGGGAGAGTACTGCTTCCCGGGCGTGCACACCCGGGCGTGTGCAAACGTGTGCATGCCGGGGGGCGAGGGCGGCAGGTGGATCCAGGCAATTTCCTGGACGTCTCTCTGAGCCTCAGTTTCCCCACCTGTAGAATGGAGGTCATAGAGGCTGGGAAGTGGGTAAGTTGGGGCTACCGGGAATGTGGAGCCCCTGCTCCCTGCTTGGACACCTCCTGGGGCTCCCCGTGGCCTGGGCATAAAGCCCAGACCCTCTCCCGGGTAGTCGAGCCCCTTCGTGGATGGTGACTTTCGCATGGCCTTCCTGAACTCTTCGTAAGCAACTTCCTGCTGCCAAGCCTCTGCATGTACTGTTCCTTCTGCCCAGCACACCCTCCTATCCTCTGTGAGGTCCCATTCTCTAGAAGTGCCCACCCGGCACCCAGCTCCGTCCCGCACAGGAGGACTGAACCTGCAGGGCTGGGACTGGGAATGTATCCATGCCCGCCTCTGCCTCCCCTAGGCTGGGGCTCCTGGGGGGTGATCAGTGCCCTGTGCCTTGGCAGCTGCAGTGCCTTCCTCCCATCTGCCCTCTCCTGGCTCCCTGTCCTACCCCGGGGCTAAGGTACCTTCTGGCTTTTCCCGACATCTTTCCCTCCACATTTTATACGTATCGTGGGCCCCAGACTGAGCCAGGCTGGAGACCCTCCCCACCCCCCTGTTTGCTCCTTCCCTGCAGAGACTGGAGGCCCTTTTGCTTGGACTCACCTCTGGGCCTTTACTTGTGCCGGGGCCTCTCCCTGGACCTCCTCCCCTACCCCTTCGCTCCCTCTGCTGCCTCCTTCCCAGCTCAGCTGGCCCATTCCCTCCTTTGGGCTCCTGAAGCATCCCCAGTATCCCTCATTTCACCCTTGCACTCTGGGTATAACTGTCTGGTCACGTGGCTGTCTCATCCATCTGGGCCTTGGAGTTGGGCTCATCTGCGTTTGAGTCCTAGCTCTTCCCAGGCCTTTGAGTGTCCCTACAAAGACCTCCCTGCTCTGAGCCTCATTTTCCCCATCTCTAACAGGAGTGATGAGCTTGTTCACAGAGCTTGCAATATGCTCGGGGCAGGTTCTTGGGAGTTCTGCACCCAACAACCCCAAGGGAGGGCTATTAGTGCACCCATTTTACAGATGGAAAAACTGAGGCCAAGAGAGGGGCAGAGACTAGCCTCAAGGTCACCCAGTGATTCAGGGAATTCTAATACAGGGGGTTTGAGCCATCTGTGTGTTGGGGGTGTGAGGTGTCAACCTGGCTAACACTGGCCTTCCCCTTCCCCCAGGTTGGCATCCTCAGCTGAGCATGGTGGCAGCCTGCACCCTAGGCTCCCTAATCTGGCACGGCCAGAAGAGCCACCAGCCTCGGGTGCCAATGGCCTCCCATGGAAGAAAGTGAGAGACCTGTCCCAACCCTACCGACCGATGGGAGACTTAGTGGCTGAGTGACCTGAGACCACGCCACCAAAACCCTCCCACCAGTTGACAAATGGTAGACAGAGATGAGTGGCCCTTGTCAGGGTTGTGGAATAATGGTGGGAAGCGAGGCATGAGTGGCCTCGATAGTCACCTGTGACTTCTGCTGGCAATAGAGGTCCAAGTCCCCCAAGCCAACCCAGCGGACCCCCCAGCCCCTGCCCCAGCCAATGGGGCCAGTGGAGCCCCAGGCAGCTGCCTGACCACCTAGACTTTGCCCCATCCAGCCATGGCGGGTGTGGAGGGCTTCCAGTACCGTGCACTGTACCCGTTCCACCGGGAGCGGCCGGAGGACCTGGAGCTGCTGCCCGGCGACGTGCTGGTGGTGAGCCGGGCAGCCCTGCAGGCGCTGGGTGTGGCAGAGGGCGGAGAGCGCTGCCCGCAGAACGTGGGCTGGATGCCCGGCTTCAATGAGCGCACACGGCAGCGAGGTGACTTTCCTGGCACCTACGTGGAGTTCCTGGGGCCTGTGGCCCTGGCCCGGCCTGGCCCCCGCCCACGAGGCCCCCGCCCATTGCCTGCCAGGCCCCGCGATGGGCCCCCCGAGCCAGGTGAGCAGCAGGCAAAGGCCCTGTAAAGGGGAGGTGGGTCCCTTCAGACCCTTGGTCTCTTCTCCAGTGAGGCAATGGGGCCTCTCTCAGGGTAGGAGGAGTAAGGACATTCGGTCACTTGACCAGCATTGACCTCACTACTGTGAAGGGCTGGGCTCAGCAGTAGACACAAGACCTAGCCCTACCTTCCTGGGGTTTCTGCTTCAGGAACTGATGAGAATGTGATTAGGCGGTGACAGGTGGAGTGAGGAAGGGAAGGGTGACAGGGGCTGGGCCTCAGGGATATAGTGGGGTTAAGTTTGAGGACAGTAGAGAGTGATCAGTAGGATTCAGAGGCTCATTCTGGCTTCATCTTACAGTTTACAGAATGGGGTCCCTCAAAGAACACCCGTGTTCCCCTGGTTTTACCCAGTTTCCAAAATGAAGGGGGCTACAAAGCCCAGAGAGGGTGGGCTGCTCAGTCAAAGCCATGCAGCACAGGGGGATGTGAAGACCCCACACCCCTCTTCAAAGACCTTGGCCATCTTCGCTTCCTAGGGGAGTGCTGGGAGTGGAGAGTCGGGGGCACTGAGCATACGCTGAAATTGCCATATGCTGGGCAGGGGATGTGGGTTCCAGCCAGGGAAACTGAGGCTCAGGATGAGGGGAGGAGACTGAAGTGTACCAGGTGCCCAGCGTGGTCTGATTGACCTTCCCAGCAGCCCAGTGAAGCTGTGAGTACAGACTGGAAGACCAAGTGCAAGGGCTCAAACTCCTTTGGGGGTTGGTCACCCAGTGAGGCCAAGTCCCTGGGAGGTGCCCTGCTTTGTGCCAGAAGAGCACTTGCCAGAAAGGGTCAGGCCAGAGTCCCACAGCATGGGGTGGAATAGAGGCGCTGGGGCGGTATGTGCTGGCTCTGGCCTCACAGCATCTGGCGTCTCCAGGGACCAGGCCTGGTCCCGCCTCGGCCTGGAGGAACAGGAGGCGGCCCCATCCCGGGCTCCCAGCCAGAATTTGCCTCTCTCCCTGGTAACAGCCACCACCCTCCTCTGCCTGGTCTCAGTCCAGCCACCACACACATCCCCATGTGGGGCAGCTGACCCACCCCACCCTCCAGATCCTCCAGAGCTATGTGATCTCAGCCGGGACTTGTC